TTGGCTGACTATCGCATCAACTGGTATGATGCTACTAGTATTTATACTAGTAGATGCTGATGCATAGCCTGACAATTGACATCTCGTAGGACATCGCAATGTTAAAAATACCAGTCGCTAACATTGAAAAAGGATAGAACGTGAACTAGTTCGGCTGAAACGCAAACCGGTAGAATTCTAGTTCACAACTAGTAGCTTTCCCTGCAGGGTAATTTCTATCAAAAAATGGAAGGATTGTAAAGGTACATTATTTAGCTTAGTTTAGGAATTTTTAAAGAAAAGAAAAACTCTCATGATTCGCAAACTTTCGCATATATGTATATGTGCCTTAAAACCACTTCTTTTTTTGTCGCGTACGTTATCACCTGGTTTTGAACGGATATTTTCCACACCAAAGTTTCGAGGCTGCTTATTTTTTTCTCAAACATAGTACCCTTTGGTTGCAACATAACCGTAATCCTTTTTTACAGTAACTTCTATTTTTGATAGATTTACGTTACTCTATAAACGTACGAATGTCGCGTACGGCTGTATGGAAACACCCATATATGAATGTTGTACAAATTAAAAATATTGTTTACCGCAGTGTGTCCTTCACCTTTTCTCCTTTGTCGACGACTGAATTGAGATTTGAGTTTGAGCGAACGACTTGCCAAACTACGACGAGCAAGCGCACCAGTGAAAAGGCGATTGACACATTGCCGTAAAGGCACAAAAACAAAGCCCAAAGGAGTGCGTACATATATACATAACTAGGCGAATTACATATATACATAGCATGAACCAAAAATACAATATCACGCCTTCTTCTTAGTAGCCCGTTATAATCGCATTTAGGAAAAAAGTTGGGCGACTTTGACATTAGCCGTTTATTTACATTTGTTCGTTGTTTACAATTTGGTGGTGGCTTTTTACTGCAATTTTCTTAATTTTCGCTTGTGACAACCAGCGTTGCCATTTTAGCCGTTTTCCGGCTAGATTTAGCCGGTTTTGATAGCAACTAGCCGGAGAAAATACGATCTAGCCGGCAGCCGATTTGTTAGCCGGTTTGTAAAAAAAAGTTAGCCGTTTTTAGCCGATTTTACTATTTGCCTAATTTTCAGGTGCAAAAAGTAAACAAGTTGTTCGAAAGCAATAATGCAGACCCAATGAAGATTTTTAATGAACTCAATGTTTTACTTTCGCATCTATGCTCCCTAGTGGTTATTAGCGCGGACACATTTGATCCTATATGCTCCCCATTGGAACCATACCTTGCTCCATTTCCTCAGTTTTATCACAGTTTTGAAGAGTATTTAAAAACAAAAGTAAGCACAAACGCTTTTGACCACGAAGCCGAGAAAATAATTCAAGAAAATGGTCGCTATTTTATTATCACTTTAATAAAGGAATTACACCAACGCCTCCGTACAAATATTGCCACACTAAAAAAAATTGACTTTTTTCGGTTGGAAATGCACTAAGAGTAATTAAAACAAAAGTATTTGTTCAACTACAGCAACAAAACCACAAATATAATGCCGACGAAATAACATCCATAGAGATGCAATGGCAACGGTTAACGTTACATACCTGGAGTAACTTAGACTCAGCTGTAAAATTTTGGGCCGAAGTTTATCAATTTCGAAATGCCCTAGGAGAAAACCCTTTGCTGACCTTTCCAACCTAGTTTTTAGTTTTCTTGTTTTGCCTATAAGTAAGGCAGAAGTAGAGCGAATATTTAGTTCAATGAATATAATAAAAACCAAGCAAAGAAATCCAATGTGCGTTAAAAAGTTAAACGCTATTTTATATATAAGATACGGTTTAAAACGTGAAGAAAAATGCTGCCATAATTTTACTGTACTTAAAATTAATGAATTCAGGTGATATATACAATAGTGATTCATTTGATGATGAGGAATATACACTCGATATAAATTAATGGTGTTAACTAGTCTTTCGTTTCTTGCGATTTATTTAAATAAAGCATGTGAATTTTCACTAAAACATTTTAGCCGTTTTTTGCCAGAGTCTATGTGAAACTTCACTAAAACATTTTAGCCGTTTTTAGCCGCTTTTTTTTGCCAATCTAGCCGGTCGGCCCAAAAAGTTCTGGCAACACTGGTGACAACGTGTGCACACATAAGGTAAAAAATAATTTAACACAACGACATGATTTATAGAAGAATTTGCATAATAAAAATTATTATTCATGCGGTCAACAATTACGCGGTTTTTTTTTGTTCTCTTCGTTGTTTACTTCTTACAACAAAGATGGCGTCGAGATTTCAATAGCTAGAAAATAACTTTTTTCTTTCTTTCGGGAAGGCGTGATCTTGTGTCCTTCGTTCATGTATACATAGCAACTAGCAAATTCAAATGCGTTTACAGAAGTGCGCGACAAAAAGGAAAATGCCGCAGTACGGGAAATTAACAGAAACAAATTATACATGTGAATAAGTAAGCAATTAAAGCAGTAAACGTACATACGTACACAGTAATGACAACTTGAAATACATGAACATGCACATATATACAAGCAAGTTAATAGCAAATATTGGAATTCATAAACATAAGTATGTGGATGTAAGCATACATGAAATTGGAGTTACAATAATATAGAAATTGAATTTGGTAAAGGCAGGAGTTCCCAACATTCCCACCCCCGTGAATCAGCCCGATTAACCACAGTGAACGTCCAGAGCAGCTAATTTTGATACGGCTCGTCGTTTCAGGCCATTGTTAGTGCGCACGTCAACTCGTCTGACTTCGCCATCTGATCCACGATATATGCCTTAGGACCCAACGCTCCCAAGCACCTCCTTCGGCCGGGTTGAAGGGCGAGTTAAATACCCATTCAACGCCCTTCTGCGACAGCTCATTCTGCACTCGAATGCAGTCAAAAACCTCACTAAATCGTTTTGCCTCCATATCGACTCCAACGAAATTTTTCCCATTATCGGACCTCATGCGTTTAGGGACGCCACGTCGATTTATGAAGTTTCGTATGGCGACTATGCATGAGTCAGTACTAAGATCGTGGGCCAACTTCAAATGCACAGCTCTCACGGTTAGGCATGTGAATAATGCCACCCATCTCTTTTCGGTGCTTCGTCGCACAGTGACTGTTACCGGACCGAAGTAGTCAAGGCCCGTATAGCTGAACGGCCTCACATACGGCGTTAGTCTGTCGGCCGGAAGCGGACCCATTAGTGATGACACGGCGCTGACTTTGTGTAGCCGGCACACAGCGCAGCTGGCGATCACACTTCGCAGCAAATTCCTCAAGCGCGGCACCCAATAACTTCGGCGAATTACGCAAATCGTAGCCTCCAAATTTTGATGACGCATGTTGTTGTGGTAATGAGATACGACTAGTTTTGTGAAGGCATGGCTTGGTGGCAGTATGATTGGACGCCTCGTGCTTATTGGTAGCCAAGTGGCGGCATTTATGCATCCTCGTACGTGGAGCACCCCATCTTTATCAATATACGGCGAAAGTTGAATTAGTGAACTGGTGCGGGCTATGTCTTGGCCACTTTCGATAATGCTGAAACTCATCGGCGAATACATCACGCTGCACAAGGCGGCACATATAAAGTTTAGCGGTTTCAACTTCTTTGGCTGTCAGACCGTAGCCTCGATCCGGCTGAGCACGATGGCGGCAAGTATCGATAAATCGCAGGACCCATGCTGCCGTTCTTACCAGTTAACTAAATGAAGATAATCGATCAAAATTTATAAACGTAAGACTTACGATTACTAGGGCATATTTAGGACGAAGTCCTTTGTCGGCTTCTTGTTGATAATTTGTTGTTAAGCACACTGTCGGCCAAACGCGTTCGTCGTGCAGCAAAAAGGGTGGACCGCAGGACCATCGGGCTGTTGAGCTGAAGTCAACACGTTCGTTTGCTCGTGTGGCCTCATCGGCGACGTTGTGTTCGGTAGGTGGCCACCTCCAATTAGCACTGGTGGTTGTGGCCAATATTTCAGCCACCCTATGTTGCACGAATGGCTTGTAACGACGATGTTCGCTGCGGAGCCACTGGATCACCGTTCTTGAATCGCTTCAGATGATGCTGTCTTCGATGCCAACGGAATGCTCCTCTCGAACATAGCTCATCAGCCGTGTGCCGAACACAGCTGCTTCAAGTTCTAGTCGTTAACGATTTCATCGGCGCGCATTTGGTTTTCGCACAAATAAATGCGACTTCTACCTCACCGAGGGCATTAGATGACCTCCAGTTGGCTACCGCAGCGAAGGCATCCTCACTAGCATCGACGAAAACATGGAGTTGCAGTGTTTTGGGCAAGCCATTCCTAAAATAATAACGAGGGATAGCATACTCGGCGACTACTGGCAACTGTTTACGCCATCTTTCCCACGCGGCATTTATGTCGTCTGGCAATGGCTCGTCCCAGCGGATGTCATTTTTCCAAACCTCACGCATGAGTAGCTTCGCGCTTACTACGAAGTTGCTGAGAAATCCCAACGGGTCGAAAATCGACATGAAGACGCTTAGTAGTTCTCGCTTAGTAGTTTGGACGCCGTGTTCCACTCACAATATTGGAATCCACGTTGTTAAATTTTAATTTGAATCCGAAGCTGTCAGATGATGACCGCCAACACAGGCCAAGAACTCTTTCAACGAGTACTCCTTCTCTCTTTGATATTTGATGTGTAGCTTCGTTACCACCAAACGCGACTACCACATTCGATGAGTTGGACGTAAAATTGCGAAGTTCAAAATCAGCCTTCATGTGAATTGTTCGCACCTGTTGAGATACGTCAAGTGCTTCTTCTTCCGTGCCAAAGCTGTCGACATAGTCATCAATATAGTGGTAATCCAATATGGACTTTACAGCTCGGTCTGCACCACTTACTTCATTGCGATGCTCCAATGCGTTGACCATTTTAACGTAATGGGCGGCGCAAGGCGAACACGCGGCCCCAAAAGTCATCACTCGAATTTCATAAACATCGAGTTGTCTTGACGAGTCACCATCACGTCAAAGGAAGCGCTGAGCACACCTCACCTGTCGTCACGCTGAATCAATACCTGGTGGAACATCTCCTTGATGTCCCCACACACGCCGATTGCACTTTCACGAAAATGGAATAGTATGGCAGGCAAGGGCCGATACTCTTGTGGACCCATAAGCAGCTGTGAGTTGAGGGACACACCGTCCACCTCAGCGGCAGCGCCGAACACCATACGTAGTTTGCCTGGCTTGTTAGGGTTTGTGACGGCGAAGTGTGGCAAGTACAATGTCCTGGCGCAGAACAAAGCGGCCTCTTCTGGTAGACATGTCGTAGACCTCAGGATTTCTCGAGCACGAATATCAGAATCGCTCTCGATTGGAGGGGCAGCCCTGATTCCAAAGTTCTCTGTATCAAAGTAATCAGCCACCGCGTTATGTAATGACAGGTCAGTGTGGGAACTGGTGAATAAGCAGGATGGTACCGACTCATGTGTGTTGGTTGTTGGGCCAAATACCACCCACCCTAGCTCAGTATTAGCAGCGAACGGGCCATTCTTATTCACCTTCACAGTGGCCGATGACAGACCAAGGTGGCTGTGGTCGATCCCAATTAAAAGTTTTGGCTTTACATGCGCATATGGTTGTACTGACAGTTTTTCTAGGTATGTGTCGCGGCAGCTTATGTCAGTAACGTTCAGGCTTTGAGAAGGCTATTGTAAGTTTGATACACCATATACGTTTCGTAACTTGTGCTTCTTTTGCATGCCGGCACCACTTATGAGCAAATCCACTGCGACGGCTGGCTCCTGACCTGCTCGTCCTCCGAACCATTGTAAATTCAGGCGCTGATTTCGACCGTGTAGCCCAAGCTCAAAGGGCGCATACGTTTCGACGCATTTCTGGTTCGCGTAAAGCACGACGGGCAGAATACGAAATAGGATCTTATTAACAGCAGTGCCATTGCTGCAACTAAGAACAGCTGCTCCTGTATAATTTTGCTGTTGGCTATGTATCGCTGGTTGTGTTAGTATGTTAGAACCTTTGCGCTGCTCCGATGTGGGAAGGCGCCTGACGCGTTCTTGAGGAAGCGTTGACTGAATTGGCGAATTTACGCAACTATTTTCTGCTTCGTGCAGCAATTTATGGTGCATCCTTTTACACCCGTCTGTGGCATTCGGTTTGCGCTGTTGGAAATTGCGCGTTCCATGTCCAACATTGAGACACGCAAAACAAAGATGACATCGTTTTACTTCCGCCCACCTCTTTGACACTAAAAGTTCGCTGAACTGCTTACACTCGGCTAACTTATGTTGGCCTTGGCATGTTGGGCACCTTGGTTTGCGTTGTGATTCGGCGGCGTGCAACACAACTCGGCGTTTGGAGTCTCGCGTTGCATCCCCATCGTACACCGTGCAAATAACATTAGCTAATTTAGTAAGCCACTCACTGAAATGTGTGACTGTCGCATACGGATGCAAGGATGCAGCGAAAACTGCCCATTCAATACGCTTACTCATGGGTAGTTTCGCTATGAGTTCATCGAACAGCGTTGGGTTCGCGATATGCTGGTCTCCTCCGTAAGCGGAATGTAGAAATGCACAAACGTTGTTAACCTTCGTGGCAAATGGTATCAACTTTGTCATTGAACCTTCAGATATCGGTGCGATTTCTCGCACCTGGGCTAGTTGGCTGCGAATTAATTGCTCCGGGCGACCAAATCGGAACTTAAGCTGCTCGATGATAATGTTCACGTTATTTGGGTGGATGAGTAGCGATTTAATCGTTTCTCGCACCTCACCTTTCAAGCATTTCTGTAATCGTAGGTTATTTTCAAAATAACTGTAGCCATAAACTGCAGTTGACTCGGTGAAGGCGGTAAAAAATATCGGCCATTCTTCCGGCTTCCCACAAAACTCCGGTAAATCTTGCAATTTTCTCGACTGGCATGACATCTGTGGCTGTATGGAACCCATGTTGGCAGGAATTGGTGCCGCTGACGAGAAATTGTAAAAGGCTGGGTCATGAGGAGGCAAGACTGAGCTGGTGTACATGTTGTTCGTTGCTGTTCCAACAGTTGAAACAGCTGCGGCAGATGTATACAGAAGTGGCGAGTAACGAATAGTGGTATACGGCGAATAACGTGTAGCGTTTAATGACCGCAACGGTACAGTACTTACATTAATAACGGCGCTGGTGGCTATCGGCGGTTGCAACTCCAAAAACGGTGGGTGCGACGTTGGTAGCCTTGTTGACGGACAGGCTGCTCCGTCGGCTGGTCTGTCGCTGGGTACACTGGCTATGCTTGGCACCTCTTTGTTTTGGGCGTGACTGGCAGATTCGTGCTCGTTTAGTTTGTGTTGGGCGACTTTCAGGCTGCTTTCAAGCATGGCTGTACGCGCCTGCATTTCCTGAAACATCGCTTCCTGGCGTGCGACGGCAGCTGATGAAGCACGGGTGGTAACTCCTTCGGCAATGGGAGCGACCGGCAAATCAATATTGGCAACAGCATTGGTACCCGATGTAGTCTTGGACGCCTCGGAGATCGGCACAGATGTCTTGCTTTTCGAAAGTGGTGAACGTGGAAACATATCGATGACTACTGGTGGATGTCGGCGGGAAACTTAAACAATCAACGTGAAAAAATACAATTAAATAGTACCGCAGTGGTATGGCAATTTTATTCGGAACGGCAAACTAAAAATACTTTCAAAGTCGTAAACGTTAAATTTTCACCCGGGACGTAATTGATTTAATGGTGAAAATTTCCGTCTGGGATGGCAAAATGTAAGAAACGGCCTTACAGTCACACATACAAATATTTGCAACTGGAGCGGCTATTGCAATTGTATGTACGTATGTTCATACGAATGCAAAACGAAAAATGCATACGATGCTTGTTACGCATGCGATGATTGCGAAAATCTCCAAAAATGTTAGAATGTCGTATTTAAAACGGCGATTTCATAGTGAAATTAATATTTCACTGCGAAATAAAGGTTTGTCGTCGGCTCGCTGGCGAATTTAACGCAAGTTATTTCTAGGAAAAAATACAAAGTTACTTATACATATATGAATGTTGTATAAATTAAAAATATTGTTTACCGCAGTGTGTCCTTCACCTTTTCTCCTTTGTCGACGACTGAATTGAGATTTGAGTTTGAGCGAATGACTTGCCAAACTATGACGAGCAAGCGCACCAGTGAAAAGGCGATTGACACATTGCGGTAAAGGCACAAAATCAAAGCCCAAAGGAGTGCGTACATATATACATAACTAAGCGAATTACATATATACATAGCAACTAGCAAATTCAAATGCGTTTACAGAAGTGCGCGACAAAAATGCAAATGCCGCAGTACGGGAAATTAACAAAAACAAATTATACATGTGAATAAGTAAGCAGTAAAAGCGGTAAACGTAAATATGTACACAGGAATGACAATTTGAAATACATACATATATACATATATACAAGCAAGTAAATAGCAAATATTGGAATTCATAAACATAAGTATGTGGATGTGAGCATACATGAAATTGGAATTACAATAAATTAGAAATTGAATTTGGTAGGAGTTCCCAACAGTAGTTAATCCAACAGCTGATTTCGTATCGCTAATTGGGCAGTTGACGTGTGTGTGAACACTAAACTCAATACCGCAATTTAAAGCTTAATTGCCTCAGCTAGTTGGCCTGTTTGAACATAGTCTCACGCGAGGTGCGTTTTATAATACAACGTTAACATCCGACATTTTGCTCAAAAAGAATTGTCATAACTATTGTCAAGACGCCTGCGTCGTGCAGACAATTATCAGCGTTTATGGCAACTAATACGTNGCGAGTCGAATACTTTCAGAGCTGGAGCGTCGGTGTCCATTCGAACGGCATGGCCAANTAAAAATACTTTCAAAGTCGTAAACGTTAAATTTTCACCCGGGACGTAATTGATTTAATGGTGAAAATTTCCGTCTGGGATGGCAAAATGTAAGAAACGGCCTTACAGTCACACATACAAATATTTGCAACTGGAGCGGCTATTGCAATTGTATGTACGTATGTTCATACGAATGCAAAACGAAAAATGCATACGATGCTTGTTACGCATGCGATGATTGCGAAAATCTCCAAAAATGTTAGAATGTCGTATTTAAAACGGCGATTTCATAGTGAAATTAATATTTCACTGCGAAATAAAGGTTTGTCGTCGGCTCGCTGGCGAATTTAACGCAAGTTATTTCTAGGAAAAAATACAAAGTTACTTATACATATATGAATGTTGTATAAATTAAAAATATTGTTTACCGCAGTGTGTCCTTCACCTTTTCTCCTTTGTCGACGACTGAATTGAGATTTGAGTTTGAGCGAATGACTTGCCAAACTATGACGAGCAAGCGCACCAGTGAAAAGGCGATTGACACATTGCGGTAAAGGCACAAAATCAAAGCCCAAAGGAGTGCGTACATATATACATAACTAAGCGAATTACATATATACATAGCAACTAGCAAATTCAAATGCGTTTACAGAAGTGCGCGACAAAAATGCAAATGCCGCAGTACGGGAAATTAACAAAAACAAATTATACATGTGAATAAGTAAGCAGTAAAAGCGGTAAACGTAAATATGTACACAGGAATGACAATTTGAAATACATACATATATACATATATACAAGCAAGTAAATAGCAAATATTGGAATTCATAAACATAAGTATGTGGATGTGAGCATACATGAAATTGGAATTACAATAAATTAGAAATTGAATTTGGTAGGAGTTCCCAACAGTAGTTAATCCAACAGCTGATTTCGTATCGCTAATTGGGCAGTTGACGTGTGTGTGAACACTAAACTCAATACCGCAATTTAAAGCTTAATTGCCTCAGCTAGTTGGCCTGTTTGAACATAGTCTCACGCGAGGTGCGTTTTATAATACAACGTTAACATCCGACATTTTGCTCAAAAAGAATTGTCATAACTATTGTCAAGACGCCTGCGTCGTGCAGACAATTATCAGCGTTTATGGCAACTAATACGTATTTCTTTATTGTCCTGACACCATTGTCTAATGTAAACGCGCCGTTAGACATTGCTGTCAAGACAAGGAAGAAATACGTATTAGTTGTCAAAAACGCTGATAATTGTCTCCGTGGCGTAGGAATCTTGACAATAGTTATAACAATTCATTTTGAGCAAAATTTCGGACGTAAACGTTGTATTTCGCGCGAGCTATTTAAGCTAAAAACTAAAAAATAATAAAGAAGAGACAAAGTTACATACACATCAGCGTCTCTTGTTTTATTTTAGTTCTGTTGTTATGCACAAGACGTCAAAATTTTTGTCTGTATACGTCAAATCATTGTCCGATCTCTTCTTTTCTTTTTTGGCGCTGTAACCGCCTAAGCGATTTTGGTCGAGTTCAGTAAAGCACGCCAGTCGTTTCTCTTCTGTGCCAACTGACGCCAATTGGAAACGCCAAGTGAAGCCAAGTCCTTCTCCACCTGATCTTTCCATCGCAGTGGGGGCCTCCCTCTTCCTTTGCTACCACCAGCGGGTTGCGAGTCGAATACTTTCAGAGCTGGAGCGTCGGTGTCCATTCGAACGGCATGGCCAAGCCAGCGGAGCCGCTGTATTTTTATTCGCTGCATTACGCGTAAAGGCCCGAAAATCTTCCTCAAAATCTTTCTCTCGAACACTCCAAGAGNTGACTTGCCAAACTATGACGAGCAAGCGCACCAGTGAAAAGGCGATTGACACATTGCGGTAAAGGCACAAAATCAAAGCCCAAAGGAGTGCGTACATATATACATAACTAAGCGAATTACATATATACATAGCAACTAGCAAATTCAAATGCGTTTACAGAAGTGCGCGACAAAAATGCAAATGCCGCAGTACGGGAAATTAACAAAAACAAATTATACATGTGAATAAGTAAGCAGTAAAAGCGGTAAACGTAAATATGTACACAGGAATGACAATTTGAAATACATACATATATACATATATACAAGCAAGTAAATAGCAAATATTGGAATTCATAAACATAAGTATGTGGATGTGAGCATACATGAAATTGGAATTACAATAAATTAGAAATTGAATTTGGTAGGAGTTCCCAACAGTAGTTAATCCAACAGCTGATTTCGTATCGCTAATTGGGCAGTTGACGTGTGTGTGAACACTAAACTCAATACCGCAATTTAAAGCTTAATTGCCTCAGCTAGTTGGCCTGTTTGAACATAGTCTCACGCGAGGTGCGTTTTATAATACAACGTTAACATCCGACATTTTGCTCAAAAAGAATTGTCATAACTATTGTCAAGACGCCTGCGTCGTGCAGACAATTATCAGCGTTTATGGCAACTAATACGTATTTCTTTATTGTCCTGACACCATTGTCTAATGTAAACGCGCCGTTAGACATTGCTGTCAAGACAAGGAAGAAATACGTATTAGTTGTCAAAAACGCTGATAATTGTCTCCGTGGCGTAGGAATCTTGACAATAGTTATAACAATTCATTTTGAGCAAAATTTCGGACGTAAACGTTGTATTTCGCGCGAGCTATTTAAGCTAAAAACTAAAAAATAATAAAGAAGAGACAAAGTTACATACACATCAGCGTCTCTTGTTTTATTTTAGTTCTGTTGTTATGCACAAGACGTCAAAATTTTTGTCTGTATACGTCAAATCATTGTCCGATCTCTTCTTTTCTTTTTTGGCGCTGTAACCGCCTAAGCGATTTTGGTCGAGTTCAGTAAAGCACGCCAGTCGTTTCTCTTCTGTGCCAACTGACGCCAATTGGAAACGCCAAGTGAAGCCAAGTCCTTCTCCACCTGATCTTTCCATCGCAGTGGGGGCCTCCCTCTTCCTTTGCTACCACCAGCGGGTTGCGAGTCGAATACTTTCAGAGCTGGAGCGTCGGTGTCCATTCGAACGGCATGGCCAAGCCAGCGGAGCCGCTGTATTTTTATTCGCTGCATTACGCGTAAAGGCCCGAAAATCTTCCTCAAAATCTTTCTCTCGAACACTCCAAGAGCCGCCTCATCGGATGTTGTCATTGTCCATGCTTCTGCGCCATATACCAGCACGGGCATGATGTGTGACTTATAGAGCGTGGTTTTCGTACGTCGAGAGAGGACTTTACTCCTGAATTGCCTACTTAGTCCAAAGTAGCACTTGTTGGCAAGAGGGATTCTGCGATGGATTTCAATGCTGACATTATTATCGGTGTTAATGCTGGTTCCCAAGTAAACGAAATTCTCTACTTTCTCGAAATTGTAACTGTCAACATTGACGTGGGTGCCAAGGCGCGAATGTGCTGACTGTTTGTTTGATGACAGGAGATACTTCGTCTTGTCCTCGTTTACCACCAGACCCATTCGCTTTGCTTCCCTATCCCAACTTAGAAAAGACAAAACAGACTTCGCGGTTTTTGTTACCGATGATGTCGATGTCATCGGCATAAGCCAGCAATTGCACGGTCTTGTAGTAATTTGTTCCTGAGCGGTTTAGTTCTGCAGCTCTTATTATCTTCTCCAACATCAGATTAAAGAAGTCACATGAAAGGGAGTCGCCCTGTCTGAAACCCCGTTTTGTGGCGAACGGCTCGGAGAGGTCTTTTCCAATTCTGACGGAGCTGGTGGTATTGCTCAACGTCATTTTACACAGCCGTATGAGTTTTGAGGGGATGCCAAATTCAGACATAGCGGCGTATAGGCAACTCCTTTTAGTGCTGTCAAAAGCGGCTTTAAAGTCGACAAATAGGTGGTGAGTGTCGATCCTTTTCTCGCGGGTCTTTTCCAAGATTTGGCGTATTGTGAATACCTGGTCTATGGTGGATTTGCCAGGTCTAAAGCCACACTGATAAGGCCCAATCAGTTCATTGACGGTGGGCTTCAGTCTTTCACACAATACGCTCGATAAGACCTTGTAACCTATGCTTAGAAGGCTGATCCCGCGGTAGTTGGCGCGAATGGCGGGGTCACCTTTCTTGTGGATTGGGCAGAGCACACTTAAATTCCAGTCGTCGGGCATGCGTTCATCTGACCATATTCTGCACAAGAGTTGATGCATGCACCTTATCAACTCCTCGCCGCCGTACTTGAATAGCTCAGCTGGCAGGCTGTCAGCTCCAGCAGCTTTGTTGTTTTTCAGCCGCGTTATTGCTATACGTACCTCGTCATAGTCAAGCGGTGGAACGTCGACTCCGTCATCATCGACTGCGGGCTCGGGTTCTTCTTCTCCACAACTTTCCGTGCTGCTACCATTTAGTAGGGCGGAAAAGTGTTCCCTCCATAATTTAAGTACGCTCTGGACATCAGTTACTAGGTCGCCATTATTGTTCTTACAGGAGTGCGCCCCGGTCTTTAAACCTTCCGTAAGTCGCCTAACTCTCTGGTAAAATTTTCGGGCATTCCTCCTGTCGGCCAGCATTTCAAGCTCTTCGCACTCACGTATTTCTGCCTCTCTCTTCTTGTTGCGGCAAATACGTCTGGCTTCCCTCTTCAGATCCCTATAGCGGTCCCACATGGCTCGCGTTGCGCCCGATCGCAGCGTGG